GAGGACATCCTGCCCCCCAAGATGGGAGAAGGGGCTGGGAGAGTGAGGAGGGGGAGACCCTGGGGGCAGGGAGGACAGTGGGCAGGGCCAGGGAACAACAGATGGCCTGGGCGGGGCAGCCTCTCACCCAAGGTCATAAACACCAGGTCATAAACTGCCCCACGGAGGGGCCCTGGGTGCCCTGTGCAGCCTGGGCTTGGTCTTGGAGCCCCTTCATCCCCTCCTACCTGCCTGGGGCAGTGATCTCCAGCTCCACGGCTACTGGGGGGACGAGGGGCAGCGGGGCTGACTTCCCGCGGGGGCAGAGCTGTCTCCGAGGTTCAGCAGGACTGGGCCCTGGGATGTGGCTGCGGTGGTGATGTTGGCAGCAGCTCTGTGTGCCGAATGCGGGGGCTGTGGCCCACGGCCAGTTCAGGGAGCCTGGGCATGTGGGGTCCACGGCAGCAAGGTCACAGCGAGCCTCGGGCAGGGGCAGGCGTGGCCAACCCAGGAAGCCTTCTGCTCTGCTCCACTCCCAGCTGCCCACCGGTGGACAGGGCCCAGCCTGAGGCTACGCAAGCCCTGCTGTGTGCAGAACCTGAGCCAGGCGGCCCACGGAGTCACACGCTGCTTCCTTTATTTCCTTAGTAAGAGGCCCTTCACTTTGACCAGGTACGCGGCACCTGGCGTAACAATTTCATTTTCCAGTCTTCTCTGTAGACATGTGACTGGCTTTTAGTCAGTAACACTGTCACTTCAAAGCTATACCCTTAAAGGAAGAGGTGTACCTTTTTTCCCCATACCCCCTTTCTTGTGGCTGGAATGTACATGTAAAGGCCTGACTCCAGCAGCCATGTTGAACCATGTGGAACCCTGAGGAAGTCATGCACAGCAGAGCAACAAGACAAGAAGGCCCTGGGTCCCTGGCATCAGAGGGCTGCCCACCAAACTAGCCCAGATGGCCCCCTGCACACTTGCAGACAATGAAAGAGATAAAAGACTGTTTCTCTGTTGGTTTCTCTGTTGATTGCCGCCAAGGGCTAACCCTAATCTGAATTCTACAGAAACTGCTGGGCCAAAACTGGAGAGGTGATGGGAAAGCTCTCCTTTCCTGGCCAGGGAGGAGGGGGCAGGAGCGAGGGCCACCCTAGATGGTGCTGGGTCCAAGGATCCGACCAACTGCCCAGACTGCAGACTGATCACCGTAGCCCAGCTCCAGGGGCCGCACACCTACCTGGCCAACACTGGTGCTGCCTTGCACCAGTGGCCTACAGAGCCCCTGAGTTGTCCCCAGAGCCCCTCCCTGAACCCTCAGGCCCAGGCAGGGGTGGGGGTGGGGGAAGAGAACACCCCCACGCCTAGGCACCAGCCACATGGCACCCTCTGGCAGGGGGCAGGAGGGCTGAGCGCTCACTGACCCTCCATCTCCCCACTGGTCCTGCAGACAGCCAGGGAGGAGGCAGAGTGAGGACATAGGGCAGAGCTGGGGTGCATACAATGTGCAGAGGGAGACCGGGCCAAGCACCCAAGGACAGCAGGCAGAGACTGCCCGCCAGAGCCCTGCAGACCTGTGACCAAGGTGGCCTCCAGGATCGGGGGGCCAGGACACGGATCCCCTCCTGAGAGCTGGAGGCATCTCACACTTCCTGAGGGGCCCGGAGCTTGTGCAGCCGAACCGCCAGCCCAGGATTCCAGTTGCTGAGCCACCCTCCCGTGGGACTCTGGGGTCCAAGGTCACAGCTAGGGACCACCACAGACGAGGCCACAGCATAGGTCTCACGGGTGGCTCAGACTTCTGGCCTCCAAGGGCCAGTGAAGTGTTTCTGGTATTCTGAAGCTCATGGCCACTGGATGTGCCCCTGGGAAAGGGCCAGGGGCTTGAGACCTGTCCACCCCAGCACGCCGGGCCCTCAGACTAGGTGCCCAGAGACAGTGAAGAAACCACACACGGTCCAGGTTGATCACTGTGTTTACTGAGTGCACAGGTCCACTGGGGTCTGGACTCGGCCCCGTGGCAGAACTGTCCAGAGTGTCCACACGTGTCCCTGCCGTGGGCTTCTGCACCTGAAGTCCCTCCAAGAACCCACACCGGCCCGTTTTGGGGCGCAAGCCTCAGCCTGTCTGTGTGGTGGAAGTGAGTCTCGGCTAGTGCATTAGAAAACTAGAGTATGTTCCCTGCCATCGATCCCTAGAAGGTGGACGATGCCTGAAGTCGAGACCAGGTGCAGATGGCAACATATTCACTGAAAGGAAAAGGCCAGGCCTGAGCCTGGTGCCTACAGGACAGTGCGGGTGGACATCAGGACGAAGGCATTACGAAGTATTCTTTGGAGCGTGAACAAAAGTGCAAAGACAGCCAAGGCAACAGCGCAGATGGGGAGCTGCAGCCACTGTCGCGGCCAGGGACAAGACTGCAATGAGTGGGCACAGGTACAGGGCCTGCACACAGCGCGCCAGGCCAGTCCCAGGCAGGTGGGCGGTGTTGAAGGGACAGTGGCTCTGAGCGCCTCCGTGTGTGACAACCAGTGAGACCCTTCCGGCCTGCGCTTGGCTCCCGCCACACCGTAGCCTGGATGGCCCAGCTCGGAGGCTGGCCCAGGGGTCTGTGGCGGCGGGGCCGAGGGCAGGGATCCCTGTCCACACGCATTAAGGCAACGACTTTGGAAACCCAGTCCAAGTTCGATGTGTGGCAGTTAGCAGTACCGCTCAGCAGCCCCAGGGACCCAGGGATTGTCCCCTCCTCTGCCACACTGGACGGAGCGTCCAGCACCGAGGGGATTTCAGGGCGGGCTTGGCCAGACCACAGCCTCAGCCGGCCTGGCCCAGCTGAGTCAAACCCCTCCGCTCCTCGGCAGGCTCAGGGCGCCCCACCTCCGGGCACCTTCCCTTTCCCACTCTGGCCCCGGAAGCCCCCAGGCCACCTCCTCCCGAGGGAGCCGTGGGGTTCCGCTCCCCACACACACTCAGTTCCCTTCTCCTTCTGCTCCCTCAGCCCGCAGTCCCACCACACTGCCTCCTGCAGAAAGCCCTTCCCGCAGCCTCCCTCCTCCTCAGGTCCCACAGGGGCCCAGGAGCAGCAGGTGCCTGGAGCAACCGGAGGGTGGCTGGCCTGGGACAGCCGCACCGGTGCCCCGGGCGGTGACTCCAGCCTCTGGACCCAGTGAGCTCCAGCGGCCCTCTCCGCCCTTAGCACGTCCTGCACACTGCAAGGGCAACGGACAACATCAGGAACCTGACCCCGAACCCTGTGCTCAGGATCCCAGCCTTGCCGGAGCCACGCCCTCTGCTCCACCCCAGCTCCCCCGGCTCCCCCCAAGGTGCCCAGAGGCCCGCATGTCACCAGTGCCATGGGTGCTGGCCAAAGGGTCTCGCCGTTTCTTTCAAGAGGCTGTGGCAGCAGAGGTGACCAGTGCCAAGCTGCAGCCTGTCAGACGAGGTCCAGGGCAGGTTCCCACGGCCTCCACTCTATGCACTATTTACAGCCAGGCGGAGCATAGCCAGACACGAACCAGAGTCTCCAACTCAGATGCCTGCCCCCCATGGGTCCCCTTGCCTTCGGGAAGCTTCCAGCAACATCTCAGGGCTAAATCTTCCCACCCAGAACAGGGGTCTTCCTCACGGTGCCCTGAATGCAGACTGGGCCCCACCACGGCAGAAGAAGGCAGGGTGCTTTCCCCTTCTCTCCACCAACATCCCCGACGTGCGACCACCGGGCCTCCAGAGCAGTGCAGAGAAGGTTCAGACCACTGGGAGGCAGGGCAGCCCTGGCTGGTGACTTTCTTCTGGGCAGGGTCTTAGGGTGATCAGAGGGTCCCTTGCAGTGCTCAGCAGCTCTCCAGCCTCTAGACGGGGGTGGGCAGCAAGGCCTCCCAAAGAGGTAAGGGGTCACTAAGGTGTTCTTGGGGTCCCACAGGCAGTGGCCTGGGCGTGGCCTCTGCCGTCATGCCAGACCATGGCAAGGGAAGAGTGGCTCTCAACCTGGGATGTCCCAACACAGGACACCAGGGTGGACTCTCAGAGGACAGAAAGAGGTCAGGTGAGAAAATGCCAATGGTGGACAGGCAGTGCCTACGTGGAGCAGGGCGTGGGGGCGATGAGGCTGGGCCACATGTCCACAGAGGGCTCAAGGAGCCAGCCAGCACCAAATGCTGGCCCAATACAAGGACAGAGCCATTGCCAGTGGACACAGGCCTCCCTGAGCCCAGCACAGACCCCTCTGGGCACTCAGCGGCCACGAGGAAGAAGGCAGCATGGGACCCTGAATGGGGTCTGGGTGGACCCTGTGCCACTGCTGTCCAGAAGCCCCAGGCAGTCAGAACCCACCTGTGTCCAACACTCTGGAACCATCTGTGTAAAGTTATTAGTTTCTTGTGGCCAAAGAGCAAAAGATCAGAAACAAAGGGCAGCCAAAGTCAGAACGGGATGTTGTGTGTGTGTGTGTGTGTGTGTGTGTGTGTGTGAGTGGACAGGCAGTGCCTACGTGGAGCAGGGCGTGGGGGCGATGAGGCTGGGCCACATGTCCACAGAGGGCTCAAGGAGCCAGCCAGCACCAAATGCTGGCCCAATACAAGGACAGAGCCATTGCCAGTGGACACAGGCCTCCCTGAGCCCAGCACAGACCCCTCTGGGCACTCAGCGGCCACGAGGAAGAAGGCAGCATGGGACCCTGAATGGGGTCTGGGTGGACCCTGTGCCACTGCTGTCCAGAAGCCCCAGGCAGTCAGAACCCACCTGTGTCCAACACTCTGGAACCATCTGTGTAAAGTTATTAGTTTCTTGTGGCCAAAGAGCAAAAGATCAGAAACAAAGGGCAGCCAAAGTCAGAACGGGATGTTGTGTGTGTGTGTTTGTGTGTGTGTGTGTGTGTGTGACAGAGAAAGAGAGAGTGAGAGCGAGAGCGCATGCAGGTGTGTACATACCATGTAGGTTTTGCACTTGTATGTGCCTACAGGAGCATGCATTGTGAAGTGATGCCTGCCATTGTGTGCCCCTATATATACATGTGTGAATGTGTGTACCTGCTCTGTATGTCCTGTGAGCTTGCATGTACACACACATGAGTGTGCGTGTGTATATACTGTTGTGTGATCTACTTGTGTGTACAATGCATGAACTGTGCACCTATGCATATGTGCTTTGCACAGGCATGTGTGTAAAACTGTACCTGCTTTATTGTGTGTATGTGTGAGCTTGTGCACATGTGAAAGTCTGTACCTGTCGTGTGTGTGCATGTGCACTTGTGTGAGCTTGTGAGTGTACCTGCCATGATTGTGCATATGCACCTGTGTGTGTGTGAAAGTGCACAACTGCTGTGTGTGCATGTGAAAGTGTGTACTGGCCATGTGTGGTCTGTGAGCTTGCGTGTGCACGTGTGAGAATGCGTGTGTGTGCCTGGCTGCAGGTGTGTGTCTGGGTGTGTGGGGACGCGTGCTCTTACAAATAATACCTGCCCTAGAAACCTTTGCCCCAGGTGGCGCTGGCCATGCAGACCCAAGAGCTCACAGAGCCTCACGGAACCTCAGCCTCCTGCCTGTCGCACTTCTGTGAGGGCAGAGACCCAAGGGCAGTGGACCATTGTGCTGGTCGGGCTGGGTCGGGGGAACCCCAGAGGGAGCTCCCCCGCCATCTCCCAAACTAGGGCCGCAGCCACCCCACTGCCATGCACCCTTTGCTCTTCAGAAGGGCTGCAGACAGCGTGCATGGTGCCCAGGCCAGTGCTCCTGTCTGACACTGGCAATCTCGCCATCATCCCTCTTGCTGCAACCCAAGGAAGATCCTGCTGCTGTCCTGCTGGGCTGCCAGGGCTCAGGGGGAGATGACCGGCCCACCATTCTCAGGCTGCAGAACCCCAGCCCAGGGCCCCCAGCACACCCCAGGGGCAGGAGGTGGCACACACAGGAGGCACCCACACAGCCGTGGAGCCCATGGGACAGGAGGCAAGGGGCCCCTCCTCTACCCTGGCTGAGGAGGAGTGGGCTGGGGCTGGTGGTGGGCACTCGAGCTCCGCCTGGGGCCCCAGCAGGAGCCTCCCTGCACCACCACCAAGGACAAAGGGTGACTCAGGCCCTGGCTCACACCGGCCTGGAGGAGCGTGATGAGGGCTCTGCCATGTCACTCACCTGCAGAGACACCCTGGAAGGCAAATCTCTCGGCACAGAGGGATCTCGGCCACACAAACGCTGCTGGCGAGAGCCAGGGCGCCAAGAGCGGTGCAAATGCGGGCGAGCCCCCAGCCAGCAGCCTGGCAGAGATGCTCCCGAGTGGGAGCCCTGTGCCCTGTTGGTCCCCTGCACCAGGACCCCCAACGGTCAGGGGCCTGAGCCCCAGGAGACGGTTTCCAGGTCCTCCCCAGTGGCAAGATGGGCTCCGCTACTGAGGACAAAGCCCGGCCGCCCCCAGTCCTGGTTGGAACAGACTTCGCACAAGCAGTGCGAGAGGCAGCCTGCCTGTGTCCCAGCAGCCACTCATGGGCCCAGCCAGGGGCTGGCTGCTGCAGAGCCAGGACTCCCACCATCCGACGCCATCGCCCGAACGACAGACTGGAGTAGAGCGGGGCTCTGTTTGCCCCCATGAGCCTCTACAGCTGGCTGCAGAGCAGGCCAAGCTGGCCAGGTCGGGAGGGACAGAGCTTCCTGCTCGCACGGCCCAGGGTGAGGGATAGGTCTCTCCAACTCCCAAAACACCTGCAGGCCCCAGCCCAGGGACCAGTCAGTGAAAACGAGCAGCCGAGACACAGTCAGGTCCAACAGAAAGGACCCTCAGTGAAGCGCAGCAGCGCCTGGAGCTCAGAGCAGGCAGGACTTCCGCAGCCGTGACTGCACCATGGGTCTGTCAGGCGCGGACCGGGGCAGGCAAAGAAGGGCCCTGGCTAAGAACAATGCAAATGTGCCCGTTAGACCACTGTCAAAACGCTGGCACCTGGCCAGAGCAGTCAGGAGAAAGGCAAGGTCACGGTTGCCCATTGCCCAGACCTTCTGTGGCTGGGGCACTGCTGGCACTCACACACCTGGAGTCCCCCCAGAGCCCTTTGAGAAGAGACTGCAAGCCAGGCCCGCAGAGGCTACAGGAGGCCTAGTGCAGCACGGTCCCAGGGTCGCTCCGGCACCCAAGGCCTCACCCCTTCCTCAGCTCCAGGCAAAGGGTCCTGAGCTTGGGGCAGCTTCCATCAAAAGACCTGTGGACCCCAAAGAAAGTGGGGAGAATGTGGCCGGGAGCTCTCTAGCCAGGCTGCCTCGGGCGAGGGACCCCGCCCAGCTGTGCACACACAGATGGCAGCCGGGCGGTGCCTTGCTGGGCACAGTCAGGAAGGAGGGGCAGACGCCCGGGGCAGGGGTGGTCCACGCCCAGTGACTTGCTACTCTGAGCTACTAATCCAACCTGGGACCCCTGGCCTCAAGGGCGGCCACCACAGGAGACAGGCCGCCCTCCCGGGCCCCCGAGCCCCGCCACCCACTGTGCCTCTTATCACTCTGTCCTTGTCCTATGCAGGGTGACTGCCTCCGAGCAGGCTGGGCAGACGGATACTCCTGCAGCCCATTTGGAAAGGAACTTCTGCAAAATGACTCTACACGAGCTGAGCAGCCCTGTGCACCTGTCACCCTACAGGGACCCCCCAGGAGCCAGGCTCGCCAGTACCCCTCACCACCACAGCACCCCAGAAAAAGCCCCAGAGAGCTCCAGCCACAAACCAGAAGGCAGAGTTGGGGCGGCGCAACAGGGGCCTCGTGGCCTCACTTCCTGGGCCCGGCCCAGCCCACGTCGCCAAAGGGACCTTCGCCCGTGGCAGAGCGTGGCGGTGGCCCACAGGGCGTGCAGAGGTCCGAGTCCGTGTCGGACTCGCCCTCCGCGATGTAGGGCCTGACCTTGGCGCATGGGGCCACAGCCGCGTAGCAGCTGCTGAGCGCGTCCAGGTTCTCCTTGGACTGAGAGATGCTGAAGCCGCTGAAGGAGCGCTCCAGCTCCTCGTGGTCCACGGACGGGATGGAGATGGACGTGTCGCTGTCCCGCAGGGCGCCCTCGTGGGGCCTGCAGGCCGGGGCGTCCTCCAGCCTCAGGAACTCTGTGCTGGCCCGGTTGCCCCCGCTGTAGGCAGACAGTGACCGCTCATGTGCGGGTGGCGGCGGGATGCGGACCAGTGAGCTATGGTCCCCCACCGGGGAGGTGCCGTGGCGCTGGTGGCCCTGCTGCTGCCACGATGTGGACGGGGGGCACTGGGCAGGGGGCACCGCGGGGGGCGCAGAGAAGTTCCTCTGGCCAGTGGAGCTGGTGGAGCGGACGATCTTGATGATGCAGCCCTGCTTGTCCACGTGCTCCCGGCTGTCCTCAGGGCTGTGGTACGGCGGTGCGGGCTCGGGCTCCTTCGCCCCAAAGTAGGCCTCCGTCTCGGTCGGAGGGATGCCCATGCGCTGCATGTAGATGTTCACCAGGAAGTCCAGCTTCTTCTCCATGGACAAGACCTACAAGAGGAGCAGCGACTGGGCTTAGGGGTCCCCCGCTCCCACAGCCTGGCCGTCTGACCACACAGCTGCCGGTAGCAGACCCAAGACGGAGGTCTGGTAACGACATCTTAGGACCCAGGCCCAGAGAACACAGTGGGAGAGGCAAGGACAGGCGCAGGCTAGCCAGGCGAGACTTCGCAAGTTCCGGGTGGACGAGCCAGTCCACGGGACCCTCAGCGGAAGGCAAACTCACAGGCATCCAACCCGGGCACAGAGGAGCATGTGAACCGGGGGCTCTGACCTCTTGGTGCTGCCACCGCAGTGAGGACGAACACTTGGAATGAAAGTGTCCAGCTGAGCGGCCACTGTGGTGTCCCTCCCACCATGCCCGCCCCCTCCCCGGCTCCAGAGCCTCTCCTACCTGCTTCTCCACCTTCCCAAGCCGCCCCATCATGCTGGGGTCCTCTGGCAGTTCCGCCTCCGCCGGGCCCTTGGTCCGGTCCTTGTCCGTTATCGCCGGGCCCCGCCCCACGATCTGGTCCACTCTACCGGGAACAGAGACCCGGCCCAGGCATGAGTTTGGGGGAGTGTGGCCAGACCCTGCCCCCTCCTCCTTGGCCAGCCCCCAGCCCCCAGACTGGCTCCAGGCCCAGCCCAGAACCGACCAGGGGGATAGCAGGTGTCAGGAGGACACTGGTGCCTCAAGCTGTGGCCCTGCCTCTGACACCCTGGGGCCTGATTCCTAGCGTTGTTCCGGTGGGGCTGGGCACATTAATAAGGAGTAAAGTAAGGGCTCCCTGCCCCCCAGCCCCCCCAGCCCCTGCTGTTCCACAGCAGACGAGCCCAGAGGAGGATCATGAGGCGCCGCACATCCTCCAAACGGTGCTGTGCCCCGGCACCCAGGCTCTGAGCTTTACTCCTGCATAATGTGCCACCGAGGCCCAAGCCCACAGGCTCCGGTGGGGACACTCAGGGTCTGCAGCAGCGATGACAAGCGGGGAGGCGGCAGCTGCAGCTCCATGCACAGGAGGAGGAAGGAGGCGACACAGAGCTGCTCAGGAAACGCCGACACACAGCCACAGGAGGGGCGAGCCACTGCCGGCCCCGGGGTGTGCTCGAGTGTGAGAGTGCACCGCACATGTGTCTGCCAAGTGCATCCTACCTATGTGCACACGTGTGTGCAGGTCACAGAACCCAGCGGAGTGACCTCAAAGGAGGCCTTGGACACCAATGCCAGCGAGAAGGAAAGGGAAGCCGGGAGCAGAGCACACATCTGCTGTCCCAGCTACTCGGGAGGCTGAGACAGGATCACAAGTTCGAGGCCTGCCTGGTAACTTAGTGAGAGCCTATCTCAAAACAAAAGGGCTGGGGGTAGTGCTCATGGTAGCCTGGCCCTGGGTTCAACCCCCCATACTGGAAAAAAAAAGATGAGAAGGAAGCTCCTTGGTGCCAAAGGCACAGAGCTCCTGCTGGGCAGCGGGCAGCCTGTGGGGGCAGGGAGGCCAAGCTGGGGCAGGGGCCAGGCTCAGCCCCTTGCACAGTGACCTGCTCTACAGGGCCGCCCTCCCTGCTTGGGGACCTGGACTCTCTGTTGCGAAAAGCAGAAGGGTTCAGGCTCGTATCAGCCATGGCAGCCTCCTCATGCTCCACTGGGCTCCATGCTGGGCTCATGCACAGCAAGAGGGACAGGGAGGGGCCCCTGGCTCCAAGCAAATGCCGGTGGCGATGAAGGGGAGGGGCTCCCCGGTGTTCGAGTGTCCACACAGTCCAGGCACAGACGCACAGCACCTTCACCCCTGCCACATGACGGGTGCCTGCCTGGTGGGGCCCAATGGGGCCTCAGCCCAGGACTCGGCCTCACGCTGCTGCTGGGAGAGGGTCCTCCAGCAACCCCGGGCTGGCTCCTTCCCTCAGGCTCCAGCTGGGGAGTCCTCCTCACTCCCCTGGTGGTCTAGGAAGCCCGATACTTGGCCACCTTCTACAGGCGGGGCCTTCAGGCACGGGGACAGTGGACTCTCGGGCTCTGTCTGGAGGGCCCTGGGCAGGGAAGTGGCATACACAAACCTGCCCGCTCTGGGGTGCCCCCTCTCACAGGAAGAGCCACCAGGTGGCCCTCTGACCTCATGGGCAGTAGCCCTGTCCCAAGGGGGTGGAGAGGCCACTCCTGCCAGCTTACCAGGTGCCATTTACCCAAGCACCCCGCGCCACCCAGACCCCGCTGCCCTGGAGCTGCCAGGCAGGGCCTGGCCTGCTCTTTTCCCTGCCTGCTCTGGGGGCTCTGCTCTCCCTGGCCTGTCAGGCTTGCTGGAGTAAGGGGACAGTCATCTGGTGACCCCTGGGAAGCCAGAAGGCCTGAAAAGTCTGGGTTAGACACAGAAGAGCCTGCTTCACTGCCGACTGTGCCCTGACCCCGTCCTGCCCACCAGCTGGCCCTGGGGAAATCCTACATTGTCCTTATCAACAGTACCATTCGTGACAGCAGTGCAGAGCACCAGGGTCACTCTGAGCCAGCTTGGTGTGGGTGCTGCAGGAGCTTTCTTACTGACTCCGCATGACAGCCAAGAAGCAGACGCTGTCATCTGCACCCTGAGCCTGAGGAAGGGGCCACAGGCAGGTGGTCCTTCCTCTCCCATCTGTGCTCGTACCACAAGCCAGCATGTGGTGTGATGAACCCAGCAGAGGCCTGAGTCAGCCCAGGGGGCCTCGTGGGTGCATCTGCAGCTGAGCAAATGGTACTCCAGTGGCCACTAATACCCTCTGCTTCTGCCCAAAGCCACCCAGCCTGTGGTGGACACCGTGAGGGCAGCCGTGCCAAGGGGCAGGCTCCCAGGGGGTCCCTATGGTGAGGAGGCCGGTGAGGAGCTGCCTTCCCCTAGCAGCGTCATCAGGAGGACACCTGGACACCTCTGTCTGGGGGAGAGAACGGTGGAGCCCACCGTCATGTGGCCTGGAGCGAAGGGGCTGGCCATTCACAAAGACAGGCCGGAGGAGGTGCTGTGTCCTAACCTAGGTGAGTACTGGGGTGACTCTCTCGGAGGGGCCGTGGGTCCTTTCGTGGGGTACTTCTTGTGCCGGGGAGTTGAAGGGGGTGGGGGGCCCACAATCATATCTATCCTGGCAGCATAAACAAGAAAAGAGACAGCAGCAAAATACACCGTGAAGCACCCAGATGGAGAGGGAGTCGCTGGGACGCACAGACGCAGGAGCAGCCCAGCGCCACCACGGTCCTTCCCCCAGGCAAATAAGCCTTGCTCACTCGCCCTGGGCTCTGCCGGGCCTTTCCCGTGTCCCGAGCCAAGTGTTCAACTCCGGCTGAGCCTGTGGTGCACTAGGCTGCTCAGCACACAGCTGGGGAGGCTGGGAGCAAAGTCTTCAGGGGCTACAGAGCCAGCGACAGTGTCACAGCGACCGTGTCCCTGAGGGGCCAGTCTGCTTTGCCTGCTGTCCAGGCAAAACACAGAGTCAAGGGCAAGGCAGGACAGAAGTGCCGAGCAGGAGGGCGGTGGCGACAGCTGAGGTGGAGGGTGGGAGCCTCACTCCCCACTCCACAAGCCCAGCCTCTGCTCTGCCCAGGCCGGCAGAGCCCACACTGGAGTGGAGGCGGGACACCCCCCTGGCCACAGCTCAGGGAGGCCTGAGTCCCTTCCCTGGCACTTGGAGCCAGAGAAACCCGACAGCCACGCGGCTCCTGACAGGTACCAGAGACACACACGTGTGTGTAGCCAAAGGCGCACACTGCGGTCCTGCGAGTGGGTGCCGGGCTACAGCACGGCCACGGACCTGAGTCTGTGTGTGTGCACACGGGGAGCACACACGAGTGCGTGTGCTCGGGGCTCTGCGTGTGTGTGTGTGTGCGTGTGCGTGTGTGTGGTGTGTGCATATCAGGTCCTAGAAAGAGCTGGCGGGGACCCCGCTACTGCTGCGCCTCCAGTCACATTGGGCTTCCTGCTCAGGAGGGGCCCACAGCAGGACTGTGTTCTGGAAGAAGCAACTACTGCCTGCCCGGGCCCACAGGAGCCCTGTGGCTTCACCTGATAGAAATGCTCCACCCCAACACACATGCACACACATGTGCACATGTGTGCTGTGTGTGCATGTATCAACTCACTTGTGTGCATGTGCAGCATGGCACACAGGCGCACGTGCACACACCTGCACACATGCACAGACACACATGTGCACACACATGTGCTTGCACATACATGTGTGTCACACATTCAGAGACCCATCTACACACACGTGCCTGTGCACACATATGTGTCAGCACGCACACACACTTGCCCACCACGGGGTAGGAGGGCGGGAGAAAAGGGAGACACAAGAGAAATATTAATGACACACCGCGTGACGACAGGGCAAAAAGCTGACGAGAAGCCGACGTGGACCGGACGAGGTCCCAGCCTGGTCCTGCCCCTGCCCTGCACACCTTCCCACACAGGCCCGGGGTGCCCACTGGCCCACACCAGCAGCGGCAGGTGAGGGCGCTTGCCTGGACTGCAGGCTCTTGATGCGGGACAGCATGTCCAGGTGCCCGGCTGAGTACTGCTCGATCACATCCATCACGTCATACGGCCTCAGGCTCTCCTTGAACTTCCGCTTGGACACCAGGAACCTCATGACACTGCGGGGGACGAGCAGAGCTCTTGGCTTCAGCCACAGGCCATCTGGGCCAGGCCCGGGTCCCCCTGCCGTGCCCTCCACGCATCTCTGAGGAGTAACCCCAGGGGTGACTGTCCCTGCCATCTGGGTCACCGCTGTCCTGACGTCACGGCCAGAGGTTGGCCCTCAGACAGGCCCTGTCCACCTGGGCCGCTGGTGTGCGGCCAGCAGACTCCTCATTTGATCCTGACATGAAGTCACCCAGCCCAGCGGCCCTTCGAGGGCTCCCGCCCTTCCTGTGGGCCTCGTGGGAAGGCTCCCTCAGACCAAGCCTACCAGTGAGCCCAGCATGGCCAGCTCTGCCTTTTTCCCAGAGCCATCCATCCCCGGCATCATGCAGACGGCAGCAAACAGCCGCCGAGGGCTCCTCCCTGCCTGGGCCGTGCAGGGCCAGCTCACCACACGGCTCGGATGCTGACTTTCAGGCCGGGCGTCAGGTCCTCGGCCACAAACTCGCAGTTGCAGCTCTTGTTGTCCTCCACGATGTCCTCCCCAGGGAGACTTGCTTCTGGGTGTAAGGGAGTGTGAACCGTGAGCGGATGCTCCACCACTGAGCTCTGCTGACACCCCAACTTCTGCAGCCCCAGGGAGCGGCTGCCTCGAGGGTTTAAAAGAGCACCCTTGTGACAAACACCTATCTGGCCACGATGACGTCCACCCACATACAGGACACCGTTCCGAGGCCGTGCCCCTGCCCGACCAGCCCTGAGCACCGTGCTAAGGGGAGAAGCCAGCGCCCAGAGCCCCTACTGGACTTCCACTCAGGTAGGACCCTTGGGTAGGGTCAGGGCTGGGGAGGGGAGCAGGTGGCTGCTAATGGGCTTGGCGCTTCCATTCTAGAGGACGAAAATGTTTTGGACCCAGGCACAGATGATGGTTGCAAACACAGAATGCATGAAAGCCGCCACTAAAGGGTGACTAAAATGTTTCACTTGGACTCAAAGAAAAAAAAAAAGAGGGGACTCCCTGCTCCACAAGGCTGTCACATGTGTCCTGCAGCCAGGTGCCAATGTCCCTCCCCTGGCAGCCGCCTGGCATTAGGGGCAGCAGCGCTGCGCTGGACCCACCTTCCGAGTTCTGCCGGGATGCAGCACCCTTGATGCGGAAAGCCTGGCGCGCACGGCTGCGGTCCCCGAAGCTCCAGCTCTTGGGCACCTTGCTAGGACTGTCTTCAAGGCTCTGGTCAGCGCTGGGTGACCGCCGGACCGGCTGGGCCTGGGGAGACCCCTTCCCCTTGGCAGCCACGCCTCGGGGGCTGGAGAAGACACGATCTTTCAAACTGACCTTCTGACTGCTCCCACGAGAACCAACAGATGGGTGGACAGACAGAAAGACACACAGAAAAACAGCAAGAGAAGTCACTCCGGAAAGAACATGCCCGCATCTGCTTGCAGCCGATGCTGCCCCACGACACAGAGGAGGACACAAGTTCAGAAAGTCATCAACCAGGCTGGGGCTCCGAGCAGCTGCTGGGGTGAAGCACGGGGCAGGAAGGGCAGCTGCGCAGGTGCGGCCAGAGGTGGGCCATGCCTGGGAGGTGATGGCCACAGACTCAGAAACCACTCCACAACCACCACCAGGTGCCAAGCCCTCTCACACTGTCTTGCCAGCCCCTCAGCATGACACCAGAGCGTGAGCTCTTCCCGGGATCTTCAGCCGCTTCCCCGACAGTCCCTCCCACAGCCCCCAGCCAACCCTGTCTTTCCACCTCCTGCCCAGGGCCAGGAGAGGCCGGGGCTGTGGCCAAGGCCCATCCAGCAGCACCAGCCTCTCTGTCAACCCTGGGAGCCTCCTGGCCTCTGTGGGCTGCTGCACAGCACCCGCCCACTGCTGTGTAACACCTCCCACCAGGTGAGTCTGGATGACTGGACCTGCCTGCTTCCACAAGGACAGCGAGGGAGTGGCACTTCGGCTGCGGCAGGCCATCCCAACAAGAGGAGGTGGCTGCCAGACAATCTTCACCCCAGGGCTCTTTCTGCAAGGCCTCTCTTGTCCCCATGTTTCTTGGTAACCATGGAGATGGCTAACACCCCAAGTTTGCCAGCTCCAGTGTCCTCCGGGCAGCAGGAGAGATGGACAGCCCATGACTGGGCTGCTCCAGACACAGCGGCCTCCACCCCACAGTGAGTCTGGGAACATCAGGCCTGGGTTCCGGCCAGCCACCCACGACTCTCACTTCCGGCTCCACCATCACCCCAGAGAACAGCAGGTCTCTTGTTCGGACACCACACATGCCACCCTCACAGGAGCCACAGGCTCCCCACAACAGCTTCTGGGCAGGGCCAGAGGTCGGTCTCAGAGTCAGAGCGGCCTAATGGCTCTCAGAAGTCTCCCCAAGGGGAAGTCCCAGTGCCCAGAGCCCCTCTGTAATACCTCAGGCTCCACCTCCACACTTCCACCATGGCAGCCCACCCTCCCAGGACCCACAGCCAGGGAGACACACCCCGCAGACAGTGCAGAGGGGACCATCACAGAGAAGAGGCAGCCACATGCTATCACCCACCCTGGACAGCACGGACAGGGCCAATGTCCTATTCCCACCCACCCCAAGGAAGCAGGCAACTTTAGTGACCGTCTGTGCCTCCCAGGTCTCTGAAGATGAGAAAGAGCAGGAAAGAGACCTATGGGGCCAGTGGCCCAGCCTGGAACCCTCCTAGACAGAGGGTGAGGAACCCATGCGGTATCCTGCGTCGAGTGAGCAGCAGGGGCAGCAGCATCTGCCTGCTTGGAATGCTGGTGGACGGGAGCCAGGGATACCTCGAGAACAGGTGGTCTTTGCCTTCCCAACCCAACGGAGACCTCAAACACTGGGGCCACAGCACAAGGGCTGTCTTGGCTCTTGTCCAGCGCAGGGGATGCCAGCTGCTGGAATGCCCTCTCTTCCTATGGGCTCCTCCTCCATCACACGACCATTCAGATGTGGGAAACGGGCCCTCCCAGCCCTAGAACACTGGGAAACCATACTTTCTAATGTCACGCAAGGTCACACTTCCACTCTTCCCTCCTCCATCCCAAGCAATGACAGAAAGGACACAAGGAAAGCCAGTCCTTTCCTTCTGCATCATAGCTGTGCAGTAAAACCGAGTTGATTGAATCCAACCATAGGGTTGCCTCCTCTCGGAGCTCCTGGGGATTCCCGGCCCTGAAGGTTCACAATTAGGAAAGGTGGCCATCGCAAGGTGACGTCACAGTCCTGCCCTGGAAGGCTGGGCAGCGATGGCACCAACAAGTCAAATGCTTGGCCACCCACCCCAAACCAGGCCAAGGAAGCACAGAACCCCAAGTCTCCAGAGAGCTGCACAGCGGGGACTGGAAGTGAATTTTGCAAGGTCCTTCCAGGAGACCAGCCCCAAAGCTGACCACTCCTACTCCTAGCAGGATGTCCTGCCAGCCTGCCATGAGAAGCTGAGCCCACGTTGCAGACCCACACGTGGTTACCCAGGGCCATGGCAGAGGCAGAGCTGCCAGGGAGCAACCAGGGCCTCGGTGGTGGCTCTGCTGTCCCAGCTCTTGGGCTCCACTCCCACTGAGACCTGCAAGGGAGGCCCTGCCATAGCAGGGGCAGTGTGGCCAACCTGCAGGAATGCCAGTCCTCAGCCAGGCTTCCTCCACTGCAGGACCGGCTGGCAGTGTGGCTCGCAGCTCCCCCTTACCTCCAAGCCAGGGACAACGCAAACATGAGGGCTCTTGAAGGCAGCCCCACTTGCTCCAGTGAGAGCCCAGCTATGATCAGGTCACTCTGGCGTTTGTGAGGGAGGGGCAAGTTCAGGCAGAGTCAGGGAAAAAGAGTGAGCTCCAGCCTTTCCCCCACCCGTCACTCTGGGGTGAAACTCAAATGGGAACGTGCCGTGAGATGGGCCTCAGCCTGGTCAGCACTCAGGGCTCCGGCTCAGCAATGCAGGGAACTGCCCAGCCCACAGTGGACCCATGGTGCCCAGGGAGAACGAGGGGACATTCCACAAGTGCACAGGGCAGGGCAGAGCCTGGCAGGGCCTTTCCTACCCCACACTCCTGAACTTTCTGCTCCCAAGCAGCCTGACATCAGCCCTTGCCCCAAGAATTCTGCCTGTGGCCAGAAGCACCCTGGACACAGACGCTGTCCAAGCAATCAGGACAGCTGCAGCCAGGGCCCAAGCAGGGTACCTCCCTTCTGGAGCTGCAGCAGGCTCTCTACTGAGTGCCCGACTCCAGAAGGCACAGGCAACAGAGAGGCCCTGGGGCAGGTGGACCCTGCATGCCCCTCTCCTGGCAGAGAAGGGTCCAGGCATGCACAGATGCAGAGGCACAGCATGCTGCTGGGCACCAACTCACAGCATGCACGGGGCCAGGAGCACTCCCACCCGTGGGCACTGTGCGGCTGCCTGCACACGCTGGGCAGCACCAGGGAGGCGGGGCGACGACCCAGAGACAGGGCTCCCAGAGCAAGCAGGACAGAGGCCTCCACACACCCAACAGCAGACAGGGGGCGGGCAGGTGTGGTCAAGGTGCAAGGGTCGGGCGGGGCCTTTCCACCATCCTGTGTCCAGTCTGCCCTAAACCAGACCTATTCGTCAGAGGGGGAGCCGTGGCCTCTGGCTTGGGGCTGGGGTGTCTCAGGAGCCCGGCACAGGCGAGCACACCACGAGCTGCCTCCTGTGCGAGGCACTGGCTAAGGATGGGCCTCAGTGCCTAGTAGAGGTGCCAGACTAACCAGCCCTGGAGGAATTGCTCCCTGAGGGGCAGTATCATGTTTCCATAGCAACAAATGGGGCTCTGGCCAGCGCTTGCCCACAGCAGCAGTAGCAGCAGGGGCACCTGGTGTGGAGGGAGGAGGGCCAGGCCACAGAGCTGGGGGCGCTGGCCGGCTTGTCCGGAACCTCTAGTAAGCAGGGAGGGTGGGAGCGTGCAGCGGGGCGTCAGTCCGTGCGAGCGTTGCGCGGTACCTAGAGTGTCCGGGGCAGCATCCACACAGGCACCCTCGGCACGGTCTGCCTTTACTGGAAATGAGGAGATCACAGTTAGTCCAGGCCTGGGGGCTCGACAGGACCCAGCCCGACGGCTCGTGCACCAAGGCACCACCACCACCGGGTAAGGCTGGGCCCACAGTCCCTCAGCTGTGGGGTGTGCGTCTGAGCAAGGACAGCCAGAGGGGATGCACAAAAGTCTTCCACAGCCTGGAAAAGAAAATAGCCTCCTATTTTTGGAGAAAAAGATTCTGGGTTTTTTCCTCCAAAAATACCTTTTCCTTCCAAAGCTACAGTTTGAGTCGATGTCTTAAAAGATGTATTATTTTTTGCTATATTCATGCCAATGACAAAAATAATACATAGGCTAAGACCTTGCACAGGCTGATTCCAGGAGGATATGACCTGCAGTAACTGTTGTGAAGCATGCACCTTTTAGGGAGAAAGAAATGTGCAGTTTAACGTTCAAACCAGGCAGCAAGGTATTACCACCCCCGTGGGCCTCAGTTTACCCAGGGGGAACGTCTGCCCCTAACTGGCGGTGGCTGAGGAGAAAAGGACTTGTGGCGGCCTGGACTGGAGGACTTTTGCCAGAGCCAGTTCACTGCAATCTTGATGAGGCCACCTTCACGCCAGGCCCTCGGAAGTGGGACAGCAAATGCCAAACCCGACAGAGTCACACCAAAGCCCCTGAGATTGTTTCTGCCTCAGGACATGCATACTTCAAATAAAAATGAAAACAATAAGCAGCAATAACGAAAACCCATCATTTCCCTCCAGGCCTTTCCTGCCCCCTGGCAGCCAGCTCCTCTGGGGTTGCATTTCTCAAACTCTGCACCCAAGAAACTCCTGTGTACAACTACGGTCTCAAACCAGAAAGAAGCTCCAGGAAAGATGTGCGGAGTGCTCTGCGTTCCTTCACAGGTTTATTTAAGGACAGAAGGTCCCTGTTGCACATTTTCCATATACAGATCTCTTCATTTAGGCACAGAGGACACACTCTGAATTCTGGCAAATGAGTAGCGGGGTGGTTCCCTGAAGAGTGCCCTGCTGCCCAGGAGTCCTGGACACTTGCTCAAGGAGGATCCTGAGTATGCACTGGCTACAGCCCACTCCACACGGGGTTTGCTTTTTAGACAGAAAAACAGCTTCATGTTCCCCAGGCACTCTGAGGATGTAGGACTAAGTAAAGCTGGACCGGATGAGCCTCTCAGAGAAGGCACTGCCAGCAAAGCTCTCCAAGACCTGGGCCCTGGTGGCACCGCAGTCGGAAGCTCTTCACAGAAGCCCTGCCTAACTGCAGCCCAGTTGCACCAAAGCCTGCTGAGCTAGTAGAGATTCAGCCCTCAGCTCCACCTGGGCTTCGGGCCAGACACAGGGCTGTGGCCCATGGACCTTCAGGGGTCCTCACACCTGGGGAAGAGAGATGGAGATCCCTGGTTCACAGCACCCATGAAGGTCTCCAGTTCTGCCCCCAGCAATGTCACTTCACCCCAGAAGCTCCTCCCAGAATCCTGACACCCAACTCTCCAACGGGAAGAGGCTTGACAGCTGCACTGTCGGGTCCCGAGGCTCCTCACCACTGGTCCCTGAGGCACAGGGCCCTTCAGCCTAAAAGTGTGCCAGTCACCCCCTCCCCAGACACCCTCCACTGCTTTTGTGGGTGCCAGGACCCCCGACTTGGGCCAGCATGACAACGTCCATTCCTCCGGGGCTTGAGGCTGACGCTGGGCTTTTTCCCACCTCCATCAGCCAAACAGACCTCAAGGCCCTGGGTGGAAGCCAGCAGGCAAGCCCGTGGGGGTTCCGTGGGGAACAGAGACGCCCACAGACACTGACCAAGACCAGACAGGACAGACACACCGAACACGCACACGCCTCCCCTGCCGAGAGGAGGCCCACAGGGGCAGGAGACAAAGCTGGGTGGGGCTCCTCCAGGTGCCAGGGCAGGAGGCAGAGGAAAGGGTGGGACTGCAAAGGGCAGGTCAGAGCAGTCGCGGCCACAGAGACACTGGAGCAGCACCTGAGCCCCGCCTTGGCCCCACGCAGACCCCCCAGAAATACTCCAGCCCAGTCACATGAGTCCTGCTGGGGCCGAGGAGCCCAGCCAGCTGGGGGCTCACCTCCTTGTGCCCATGTCCTGAGCCAGAACCAGGAGGAGCCGCAGCAGCCGAGCTACGGTCCCTGCATCCGCAACATCCACCTGCCCACTGGATGATGCCAGCTGGGACCCTGGCAGGGGAGGGCAGAGGCGAGGCCACTGGCTCCCACTGGACTGCCAGAGAAGAGGCCATCAGGGCCCTGGGGAGACAAACTCCCCCCAACACTTTGCAGAACAGGCCTCTCCCTGGGCAGCCCAGGAACAGGCTGCCAGCCACTTGTTACCCAGGTGAAAGAACAGTGTCCTGCACATCTACTATGTGCTGGTGCTCAAGGGCCTGTGGCTGCCCCAGACGGGCACAGAGACACCACCCTCTGTCACCTGGCCAGCAGGTGTGCACCCTAGGGATCAGATGGGTGGTCTTCACGGACAGAAGCCGCTCCTGGAGCCCTTGCCAAGGGATGGGGCCCGAGCCAGCTGCCCCAATTGAGCACCTTACCCCAGAGCATCCCTGGTCCTCAGGGAAGGGTGTGGGGAGGCACAGGCAGGCAGGGACCACCGACACGCCACGCGGGGAAGACACAGGAGTGGCAGGGACAGGGAGCAGGGGAGCCACGGAACATACCAGAGAGCTGGGGGCTCCCGTGGGTCCTCACCTTGAGTCCTGCTTTCGGGGTCAGCACCTCATCCCAAAAGACAGAGCAGACGAGAAAGGGGCCCGAGAAGGGCAGTGACAGTGATTAAAAGCACTTGGGGGCAGCAAGATTTTCCAAATGGGGGCAGGAGAGGGAGAGAGAGAGAGAGAGGCTGAGAGAGAATCGCGCAGAGGAGGCTAAAGCTACGGCAACAAGCTCGAGAGGCCGCAAGGGGCCAACTGCTCATAGGAGGGCCGCGTGCTGGGTGGGTAGGAGAGGGGCAGAGAGGCCCCAGTCCCGCCGGGAGATCGGAGCTCGGCACCAGTGTCGCTGCCCATCCGGCCACAGCCAGGCACGGGGCGGGGGCGGCCACACAGATGGCGACAGTGAGATCTGGGGTGGCCCTCCTTAGGGGCAGCCCCCGACAGTGAGGCTGAGCACCCTTCTCCTTTCATCCCCACAGGGCCGGGGGACTGGCTCTCTCCCTGGTCACCGGCAACACACACGAGTTTTCTGACCCTCTTGGAGGGTTTTCAGTCACTGGCTGTTCACTCAGCTGACTCTGGACAGAGACATTGCCAATATTTTCACTTCAGGGCTCTGGCTATTATTACCCTTAAGTGGATTTGATGGGTGAAGGATCAAGTCCTTCTCGAATGGACCCCATCTGGCCAGCTGGGTCACCCTGTAGTCCAGGAGGGCCTGAGGGAGGCAGGCAGGTGTCCAACTCAGACCGGAGGTCTGGGGTCAGATTTACTCTGCAGCGTGTGGACAGGCACTGGACCAGGGGACCCTTGCTCAGAGGAAGCACACGCAGCTGAAGCCCATTCAGCTGGACGTTTGTGAAGTGAGTCTGATTTTCTTTTCAGCACTAGGACAGCAGCAGCTGGCTCCTGCCCTTCCCTCCCACAGCAAAGCTGGCCCCATGAGCCTCTAACCTGACCAAACACACGGTACCCCAGGGCCAGCAGAGAGCAGAGGACCCAGCTGAAGGAAGCCCTGCATGGCCCTCAGCAGGCCTCATTCTCAGCAGAGAGGATAGAGTGAATCCAGGTTCCACTGGGGCCCACAAAATAGGAGAGGGAGTCTGACGCCAGGGCAGGTGACCCAGAGACCGAGGGCCCCTCTGCTGGCATCCAGCCCTCCTGGCCCAGCCCACAGTGGCCAGAGGGGCCAGCCGCTAGGAATTTTCACCCAGGGCTCCATTCAGACTAGCTGAAAAACCCAGGTCATGTGCCAGAAATCCCCAGCCTCAGCGTCTCCTGGGAGACTGGAGGCATGGGCAGAGGGGCCCACCCAAGAAGCCCCCAGCTGCCCACCCCACAGCGCTGCAAAGTGAGCCCAAAGCCCTGGGAGGATATTGTGAACACACAGGCACACGCGCACAGGGAAGCACACACGGGGCCCGCACAGCAGCCTTCACCCCACAACTTGCAGTGCACACACAGAGAGCAGGACCAGGGGTGTGACAGCAGACACACCAAGGCAGCTGGAGGCAGGAGGGACTGACCTGGGCGATGGCTCCGGCTGAGGCTCCTTCCTTCAAACAGAGACAAGAGCGTCAGCACCACCTGTGGGAGGGCCCCACAGAGCACCCCCAGCAACCCCCCATGCCCCAGACCCCCACTTCCTCAAACGACAGAGCGTCTGTCTTGCTGAGGGAACTTCAGGCCAAAGGATGCAAGTCCAGCATTGGGAGGGGCTCCCAAAGGGGCCACGCTGCCTCTGTGCCAAGGTTCCTCTCCCCCAGTATGACGGATGCTCATTTTAACCAGTCACACTGATACAGTGAAGTTTTAAAAAGGAAATGTTTGCTAAAGAAACTCTTCGCGGAATTTTTTTCCTGTGTAATCTCCCAGTGGCAGACTGACCTAGCCAATAGTGTTGCTGCACTCCGAAGCCGGTGTCACCTAGGGCCACTCTGCTTGCAAGGCCACTTGGGCCTCCATGTGTTTCGTTTGGGTTGCTTATTCCACTGTACTAGTCACCGTAAGCTGAAAGCAAGCTCTGAGGCTTAGGTCTTACTCACGAAGCCAGGCAGCCTGGGAGTGACATGCACAGGCTGACGGTGTAGTGTGGAGAGGGCTCTTCACCAACTTCCCAATGTTGTGCACACGCATGGTCTGTCATCATGACAGCAGCAGAAGACGAGGGTGTGGCCCAGGCCATGCTTGGGCATGGGGCCCTTGAGGCTGAGCCCCAGCCACCTTGGCTCCCTTTCTTTTGTTTTGGTGCCGGGGACTGAACTCAGGACTTTGTGCTTGCAAGGTAGGCGGCAGAAACACTGAGCTAAATCCCCAGCCCACCTGGGCTTCCCTTTCTACCATCAGGAACAGCACACCTCAAAGGGGCCATTTGGGCCAGGCCTGGGTGTGGCACTGGGCCTGCTGTCTCCTGGCAGCCCTGGGCTCGGCAGCCGCCAGGCACACTGAGGCCCAGCCTCACCCCTGGGGCTCACAGTTTTCCCAGCACTGGCAGTACTAACGTTTTGTGGTTGTTGCACACGTTACTAGAAACTTGGGGCACTTAACAATAAGAATTTACTCTCTCTTGGCCCTGGAGGCTATAAATCCCAAATCAGGGCATAGGCAGGTTATACTCCCTCTGCTGAGACAGAGAGGAAGCCCTTCCTGCCTCTCCTGCCCCGGGGCTGCAGCATTCCTTGATCCCGGGGCTCATCTCTTCCATGTCCTGTGTCTCCTTTCCCCTTTAGAACAGCTGCCCAGAGCTACAACTCATGGACAATCAGGATGATGTCATCTCAAGACCTTTAACGCACCACCTCCAAAGCCCAAGGACTTGTGATTCTCAAAACAAGTCATCTGCTTACAAACTGCAGTGCTAGAGCAACGTGAATGTCAACAGCCATACAAAAAGGAAGATGTAACAGGCTCCCTGGCCACCCAAGCTTGAAATCCAGCAAGCAAATCCCACCTGGCCTTGGGCAATGGGAGCAAGCGGTGGCTCCCAGCCCCATTAGCCTCTGCCTCTGGCGCCCGCCCAGCCCTGCTCTGAAGGGCAGTGCATGTGCAGCCAGCTGCCTCCATGAGCCTCTGTCCTGCTTGGACCTCCCCAGCAGTCCAACGCTGGCAGCTTTTCTGCTGCTCAAGACCTCAGGACTATCAGAGTCCAGTGCCACGCACCAGCAGGGTGCTCTGGGCCCACTTCCTGATGCTGGGCTTCTGCTGAGGTGGCTGCCTGGACCATGAGTCACACACATGATCTCATCAGGCTCACTGTGGCCTTGGATCCAGAGCAGGCTTTCCCATCATGGATCTGAGTTAGGACCCTTTGCTGTGAATTGGCCAGGAACTTCCCGAACCTTCAAGTTCTGCTTTCTTTTAGTAGCTTCTCCTCAGTTTCCCTCCTTGAAAAATCAGGCTGCACTTTCCAATGTGCTTCCTCAACTAAATGCCTAAGTTCACCACTTAGAAATTCTGTTTCCAAGAGCCAGGGACTTAGCTCAGTGGTGCAGCACCTGCCTCACAAGTCCAAAGTCCTGGATTCGATCCCCAGTACAAAGAAAGAGAAAAGAAATTGTGCTTCCACCCATGAGCACAAAACAATGCAGCCAAGCCTCTGAACCTCAGAACAAGGGTGATCTTTCCTGGGTGCTCAGTGACATCCTGTGCTGGCTTCCTCCCAGGCGGCAGGAGCAGCGCCTTCAGCATTTGTATTTCCCTGACAATGTGTCAGTCTCCTCTTGGACAACAGCAGCTTCCTGTCGTGGTCTTCATTTTCTTCTGAGCCCTCAGAAGCCCCTTTAACACCTATGCTCCACAGCCCTCTCTCCGAGGCAAAGTGGATCCGCCCCAGCATGAGCGTCAAGCCCTGTCAGCCTTGCTCATTACTCAATCCCAAGTTCCCTTCCACATATTTAGATATCATTACAGCAGTACACCATTTCCCAGAGTCAAAATCTACTGATTTGCTGGAGTTGTCATAATTAATGCCACGGCAGGGTCAGGCTGTGGCAGGCGAGGAACCCTCCTTGTCTGGTCCAGCTTCTCGTGGCTCCAGGTGTTCCCTGGCCTGTGGCTGCCATCACTCCAACCTCTGCCTGCACTCAGTCTTCTCCCCCGAGTGTTTGTCTCCTAACTTTCCTCTCCTCATAAGGACTTGGCAACCAGATTCAGGGCCAGCTGGAAACTCCAGGTGTGAAGTGGATGCCAGATGAGGAACCTCTCTTTCAGAGGCAGTGGCCACCGTTCAACCCATTGCAACCCCAATGAACGTGGCCCACTGCCAAAGCCTCTGTACAGTCAGAAAGTTGCTTGGGGACCACATTCATCCTCCATTCTCCTGCTGACAGCAGGCCTCCCCACGCCCACATCCATACTTTCCCAAGTGCTTCCAGAGTCATAGATCTTGTAATAAAAGGAGGACCAGCAGTGTACTCTGGGGAGGATCAGGCTTGGGGCTCTCCTTCCCGCCTGGGTCCCCCAGGACACAAGCCATGGTGAGCTTGCCCCACACTGAGCCACAGTCCTCACTCCCTTCTTCCTGCTGTGCCCACCCATGGGACCAGCTGCCCCTCTATGACAGGAGCCTAGACTGGGTCAGCAGAAGAGGAAAGGGAAACCACCCACGTCATGTCACTACAATCCGTGTGGCCAAGCACATCCCCTGCACTCCCTGGGTTCCCCAGGTTCCTGGACCCGAGACTTCCTGGCCTTGGTTTAGTTAGCAGGTCCCTGAGGAGGTTGGAAATCCTGCCCGGCCCTGAAGCTTCAGCCCCAGCCTGGGTGATCCCACAGCTAACCTGAAAGTGAGTCCAGACTTGCTCTTGAGGTTCCTCAACAGCTCCAGCTGGTTGAGTGGTGGGATGAGTCTGGGACAGGAGAAAGAGAGGTGAGTGGGCCACCAGCACCAGCCCTGGGAGGACAGCCAGCCCTGCACGCCAAGGGGCACTTCACCCAGAGGAAGCGGCAAGCACTGGGGCGGCAGTGGACGCAGCTGACCTCCACGGCAATGGCCCACCTGGGGCCCTCGGGCATGATGCCCCCCAACTTGCAGGCTCTGGGGCCATTTTCACTCGCCTCAGACCCTAGACAGGGCAGTGACTGGCAGACAGCTGAGGAAGCTGCCCACAGTGTCCACGAGAGCCACCCTGCAGAGGGGAGGGACGGGAGATCTGAGCCCAGGTGAGGATCCTCCCTCCCTTACTCGCCCCTGAACACACCCAGGGGTGGCACAGCTGCACACTGCACCCAACACATCAAGGCCCCCAACCCCAACTCCCTCTACAGAGCCTCTTTCCCTGCCAGAGCTGGGCTGGGACAGGGGGCCATGGTCCCAAAGGAGCTTCATCTCAGCAGGCCCAGACTCCCCAGGGGCCTGTGGAGAAGCCCAGCTCTGCTTCCCCCTCCTGGACCTGTTCACACCCCGCAGGGGCCTCGGGCCTGCCTTGCCTGCTCTGACACGCAGCCACCTTACAGGTCCATGCCAGCGTCCAGGACTAGCAGCCTTCAGGAAAGTGAAACTTCTGCCTCTCCACTGCCATCCGCTCCAGCAACCTCAGGCCCCTCCTCACCGCCGCCTGCCTTTGCACACTCTGCTGTCTACTTCTGGGGGGAAACGTCCTCTGTGGAGGACGTGGCCCCAGGCCTGGCCACATCCTGCTCCCTGACCCATTCTGCTCTTGGCCCCCAGTTCAGCGAGCCTCACCCCTCTCATCTGCATCCTGCTTGCCCCCAGCTGCAGAGTGTGACCCTTGTGTCTCTATACCCAGGGGCTTGAGGGACAGTCCACCTCCCCGCCTATCCCTCCCTGTGGCCCTTTCATCCCTCTGCCTGCATCACCCTTGTCATCTCCCTGGCCCATTCCCCACCCTGCTCAATCCTCCAGATGTGCCACTCTACTGCCCAAACACTCAATGGCTCCCCACTGCCTCCGAACACAAGGACCACTGACCCCACTGGGCCTACGAGCTGAGCATTCACCCAGAAAGCTCCTCCCCCTGGGGCCAGCACGCAGCCCCATTGTCCTGTCAGCCCACTCTGCTGAGGCCTCTGGTCGCCTCAGCAGGTGGGCTGTTCACGCTGGGATACAACTGGGGCTGCACAGCTGCACTGGCCTTGGAAGGCAGGCCCCGGGCCGGGGAAGCACCGGTGGACACGTGTGGAGCATCACACTTGCCACCCCTGGCTGGGTCAGGCAGCACGAAGCAGGGCCCAGCAGTCAGATTAGTCAGCGGGGTGCAGTAGCACACCCAGGCCACCCCGACACCCACAGGATGCGGCTGTCCTCCCTCTCCTCAGCCCAACTCCTGGGCCGAGCCCAGACCCCAGAGCAGGGCAGCACCCCCTCGCTCCCCACAGGCCCAGGTTAGACGCGTGGCATCCGCCCTCTGAGCCTGGGACACAGAGCAGCGCCAGGGCAGACACAGAGGCAGTGCTGGGCGGGATGCAGCAGGCCAAGGGAAAGGCGGCTGGGGAGGCCTCGGGGAGAGGCACCGGCTGGCTGGGGGTTCCACTGGCTTCAGGGGACAGCTCCAGCCCCAGGCTGGGGTGCTGCAGATGTTGGGGGCATCTTATTTCTGGGTGTAGCACTGGCAGGAGGAGACAGGCCAAGAGAACCAGTGGAGTGAACGACCCCAGGGTGGGACCCCTTCCCCTACCTCACCTGGGGTCTGCAGGGCACTTGCGGGGTAGGCCTGCAGCGCCCAACACAGCAGCCCGGCCGTGGAGGCTGAACCTCCTAATAGTGTGGGGTGGGCACTGCCTGCTGGAAGAGACCATGGCCCACTGGGCAGGGCTGGGACTGGCCACTGTCCTGTGTAGGCCCACAGAGCCCTCAGGAAAAGGCCCCTGCACTGTGCACCAGTGAGACTTTCGGAGGGGCTCGGGAGCCCCATCTGAGCAAAGAACCTGGTTTGCATCTCCCAGCAGCAGCCAGAGCACAGGAGGGAAAGGCCACCACACACAGTCACACTGGCCCCACCAACAGGAAGGCCATACATAGCTCTCCCGGGACCTGGACGTCTGTCACAGACAGTGGGATGAGGGGTGGGGAGACGGACACTGGAGGCAGGTGCTGCACAGGGGCCCACGGCCCACAGGTTGTCTGGGATGAGCCCTTGGCCTGGGACACGGGTCCCCAAGCAGCATGGTGACCCCACACCCGCTCTGCTCTGTTCCTAAACAGGGCTGTGGGCTTGGGGCAGACATGGGTGGGGGACCACAGCTGCAGAAGACACAAAGCAGGACACGGGACAGAAAAGCCCTGAGGACCAACGCACGGCAATAGGGAAGCAGCGGCTGAGGGGGAGGTGAGCGACAGGGGAGGCGAGGAAGGTGCTCTAGGTCCAGGGAGAGGACAGCCGGCAGGGGCTCCAGGCAGGGAGGGCCACAGGGAGGCAGGGCTGACACCAGCAGCACGAGGACCAGGCGTGGGGCGGCTCCGTGGGCAGCGGGGGCTCGGAGAGCTGGTCCCGGAGCGGCCCCGACAGTACGAGAACCACACACACGGCTGCGTCCCATGCATTTCCTACCTGGATGCCCCGTAGGTTTGAGTTTGTGAGCTTTCAAGTGTTTTCACGCATACACACACACACAAAGGGAAAAGAACCAAAAATTTTAAAAGAACGGGATAAGAAAAATAAAATGAAAAAAGAAAAGTCAGGGGAAGTGGGGGAAACAGAACAAAGAAAATTAGCACGAGGCTCAGTCCTATTCAGCCGCCTGGCGAGGGACACAGTGACAGGGCAAAACTACGCTGGTTTCCAGAAGGACCAGGTGGCCAGGCCCCAGACTGAGGGCCAGAAATCCCAGCAGGGTCGAGCCAGAGCAGGGCAGTGCCGCTTCCCAGGGCGGCCCCAGGCCTCAGGCCTGCAGGACCACTTCCAGTGTCTGGACCCTCGGGACAAGGCCAGCGAACTGTACCCACACTGGCTGGGGAGAGGTCTGGGTCTGGTCAGGAAGCTGGGGAGACCCCAGCTTGGCTTCAGCCACCTCAGAGCTGAGGGCCTACGGGCAGCATGAGGCCATCCAGGAGGGCTCCGGCTCTGTGACAGCCCAGGACTTCCCATACTTAGCCACCTTCCCCCTACAGGAGAGACACTTCTGGGCCAGGCCAGCTGTCCTGCACTGTCCGGTGGGGTGGGGCCGTCTCTGGACCTAGCTCCTTCCTGTGCCAGAGCCTCTCTCCTGACCCTACTCCTGGAAGCCTCGCCCTCACTGGGAGCCAAGCTCCCCATCACCCTTTCGGCAGGAAGCTGGGGCCAGCGGGGGCCTCCTGGCTGGGAACTCTGCAAGGCCCTCAGGCCTGTGTGTACCTGACCAGGGTCTGGGGAGGGGCCTGTCTCCAGTGTCACGACACAACACGCCCACAGCAGAGGACAGAAAGGAAGGGGCAGGGGAACGAAGGTGAAAAACCAAAGCCGCAACACAATAAAACAAAGAACAAAATTAACACTTTAAAATAAATCACACACAGAATCTTTTTTGAAAAATACACTTTAAAGAAAAAGAGAAACAAAACGCAGCCAACCAAAATAATGAACAACAAAAATGGGGCTTAAGAACAAATGGAAATTAAAAGAGAAAACCAATGTGCTGGGCGGCCGTGGCGAGCCAGGCGTGGCGCGATACCTGTACATGGGCACCGTGACCGTGCGCTCATAGTATTGCCAGGTGGAGTGCAGGTCGGTGCGCGACAGGTTGGTGGCGTAGAACCTCCAGGCGGACTGCAGAAGCAGAGGAAGGCGGTCAGCGTGGCCAACTGTCCCTTTCCGGGGTGCTCACCCTAAGAGTCCATAGCAAAAGAACTGCAGCCCCACGCCCGTTCCCAACTCACAGCCTCAGTTTACCCTCGTGGAAGGGACAGGCAAGATCCCACCCCAAAGCTGTTGGGTGAGGAGGAGGAGCAGGCAAGGTTCAGCGCTCCTGGATTTGGGGGTACAGCTGTCCCTGCAGTTACCTCACTGCCTCCCCATTTACCCAGGGCCTGCACAGCCTGGGAGGGAGACGGGCCGCATCCCCTTGCTGCAGGCACGGTGGCCACCAGGGGCTCCTCCTAGTCAGGCAGCAGGGACTCAGCCAGCTGGGGGTCTTGAGCCTGCCATTTAGATTGACCCAGTGACCGGGACTTCATCATGTTCCCCATACCCTGGGTGTGATGAAACACACACACATAACAGAACTGGCTATATCAGCCACTGCAAACTGCAGTTACTGTGTGTAACCATCACTACTACTTAGTTCCACAACATTCGATCACCTGTGCTCTGTGGTGCTGGGATTTGAACTGAGCTGTGACCACCATCCCTGGATTTTTTCATTATTTCCGGAGAGGGTTTTGCTAAGCTGCCAAGGCTGACCTCGAACTTGCAATCCTCCTGCTTTAGCCTCCCAAGTAGCAGAGATACAGGCATGAGCCACTATGCCCAGCTAATTCCACAACTCTTTTTTTTTTTTTTTTAGCACTGAGGATTAAACCCAGGGCCTTTGCACTAAGCTACACCCCAGCCCTCTTTAATTTTTTCAGATAGGGTCTCACTAAGTTGCGTAGGCTGGACTCTGACTTGCTATTCTCCTGTATCGGCCTCCAAAGAAGCTGGGATTGCAGGTGTGCACACCACACCTGGCTAATTCTACTTCTTCCACACTCCAGGGAACCCCGCATGTGCATCAGGAAGTCACTCCCCAGTCTGCTTTGCCCCGACTCTGGCACCACAATCTGCGTGAGTCTCTGGGATTCGCCTTCTCTGGGTTTTTCCTATCAGTAGAGTCACACGCACGGTCCTTCCCAGCTGGATGCCCTCCCTGAGTCCACCCCGGACAGAGCACAAACATCCACACTGGTTCCTTTGGGACTCAATGGCGTATGGCTGTACCGATTCATCATGTTCCGATCACTCACTCGTCCGCAGATGCACGTGAGCCTGTTTCCACTCTTCGCCTGTGGACATCAGTGCTGCACTGGTCATCTGTGTGTGAGCCTTTGGTGAAGACGCCTGTCTTCACTTGGGGGGTCTATACCTAGCAGTGGAATTGCTGGGTGACATGATAACTCCAGGTCCTGCTCTCTGAGGAGCATTCGAGTGACTTCCAGATTTTCCATTTCTGCTTTTAAAAAGAGCACTGGGCTTATGATACAGTTTGTAATGAATCTGTAGATCAGTTTTTACTGAGACCATATTTAACATCAAGTCTCCCAATACATGAAGATGAGATGTCTTTGATTCATTTAGGTCTTCGTTAACTTCTTTCAACATTGTTCTGTAGTTTTCAGTGTGCAAGGACCACATGCAAAGACGGTGAGGTCCAGACGGGCCAGGCACACTGACTTCTGGGGGAATGCAGAACATCCCTCAGGTGCCTTGAGGGCACAGGGGGCCTGGCTTCTACCCCTTGTGCCCCAGCAGGGCTGCCGGGTCACTGCTAGCTGCAACCTTGGCCCCTGCACCCTGCAGGAAGATCAGCTTCCTTCTGCAGAAGGACCCTTCGCAGCTGTTCTGCGGCAGAGTCTGTGGTGACTACTCAGATGCAAGCCACAGACACCCCAAAGAAAGGCGTGAGAGGCTGCATGTGTCCCCAAGAGGTGGAGCTCCAGATGGACAGGCAGAGCGGAGCGGGTTCTTTGACAGCCTCAGAGGCTGCTGCTGAGGGTGACCTCGCAGGAGAAACAGGGAGGGTGGAGCACGGGTTTCTGCTCTTCCCTGCACTATTTAACCCTTTCAACCCCACGTAAAGCACTTTTTTTCAGCTATCAGTAGTAGTGAGACTGTGGAGCATTTTTATTCTTCGCTGTACTCTTACTATTACAAAAAATAGTTATTTGGAGCTTTTACAGTAAAAGATAAGTACACACACGCATACATAAAAGCAGGCTAGACTCAAGGCCAAGGCCATGAGAGCTATGTCTTTAAAAGAAGGAGAAAGGCAGGGCTGCATCAGCTGGCAGTCACCCTGCTCAGCCTGAGTCCAGCGGGAATCTGCTTTCCTGTGCATGTTCGGGTGCACACACTTCACCTGCCCCCACCCAGCATGAGTGTGCTGAGCTCAGGACACAACGAGGCATCCACAGCTCAGGCTCCAGGCTGCACGGATGCAGCTCAGACACCCTTCACTGCCCCTCACACTGACTGAGAGGCCCTTGCTGCCCCAGGCTGATCCTACAAGGGGACCAGAGTGGCAACTCCACGAAAGGCCCAGCAGGCACCACTCCAGACAGGTGGCACTGGAACAGAGCCAGGACTGACCTGGATCAGACCTGCTGCTGGGTTCCGCCTCTTCTCAAAGTGCTTCTGCCGATGCTGCTCTTGGACTTTCAGGGCAAAACCAGACCCCAAAATGCCCTGCAAATTGCCAAGATCAGACTCTGCAACAGCAAGCTACCGGCGCTGACTTTATCAGGGCCACACCGAGACCAGGACCCACAGCCCTCCCCACTCTTCCCCACACTCCCCAGCTGCACGGACGCTCACCACCTCCTCACCTCCTTGGTCCCTCACACCCTGGAGACCAGGCTGTGGGAATCCCTTGGATCTGGGGTCACAGGAACCTCTGGCTTGCAGGAGGCACGGCAGTACCCCCACTGTACCCAAAGGGGAACCCCTCCTTTCCCATCTGCCCAGGACATGCCCCCAGGAGCCGCCCTCTCCCTGTGCTGACACAGTGAAGGGTCAGCAGAGCCCCATCCCCTACCTCCTGGGATAAATCTTTGGTCCCACAGAGCCCTGATGGAGGTGCTGTCATCACAGCACCACTCCCGGTCCTGAGGACCCCACTGCTCAGGGCCAGCTGAGAGGAGGATCCAGTGACCAGGACAGCTGGGTAGAAGCCACAGCCCGGGGGCCCTACGGGGTGACTACAGCTCAGGGTCACAGGCTTCCAGGCCAGGGCGCCCCACTCTGGTCCAGGGATGGGGTCTTCCCCAGGGCTGTGGATCTGCAGCAACCCCACTCATGTCCTGGGTTACCCCAAGGGGCGGAGAATCCCATGGACGACTGGAGAGACCTTGTCCCTCAAGCAGGAAGGGGTACAGGGCATACCGCAGGAAGAGCGAAGAAGGAGACCCCGATGAGGGTGAACGTCGCCGCCAGGAGCCGCCCATTCCAGGTCTGGGGGTACTTGTCCCCATAGCCGATGGTCGTCAGGGTGATCTGTGGGGCGGTGGGGTGGCCACTTGGCCAGGCTGGCGGTGGCTGGCATGGAGACCCACAGCCTTGAGCCAGACCCTCCTGCCCAGCCTCTGTGGGCTGCCTGGAGGGGCTTCTTACACCCCTGGGGCAGATGGACGGGCCAGCCACGGGGCTGGGCCACTCAGAGGTTGGGAATGTCCCTGCCTGCACAGGACAACACGGCCAGTCAGCATCTGCTGCTCTTCAACCTGCAAGCCTGCCAACACCCCACAAACCTCTCCTCCAAGTGGGGCCAAGGGTCACTGAGGAGGCGCTGGTCCCATTTCACATCCAAGGGCAAACCTGCCAGCCTCTACCGGGTACAGGAGCAGAGGTCCCTCCCTCAGCCCCACACCCCACCGGGCCGCTGCACTGTTGGCGGGGACTGAGGGAGACAGGCAGCAAGTGAGTGGCCAGCAAGCCAGGCGCCTAGGGAAGCGGGAGACAAGGGAGGGATCCAAAGAGAAGCAGGTGGAGTGGGCAGGGACTGCGAGGGGCAGGGCCCGGAGGGTGGCTTGGCAGGGTGGAGCCGGGACTGGCTGCCCTTCTTGCCCACGGGACCACAGCAGCACCCTGACTAGGCACCTGGGGATGAGAAGGGCAGGAGGTGGGATGCATTTGCAGACAGCTCTGACAGGCTTGATAATGGCATGCAGAGTGGGCATTAAGATCCCTGCACATCCCCTGCTTGCCAGCACCACACAGGTCTCCAGCCAGAAGGCTCCAACCAGCAGCCAGGACAGGCCCTGGGGAACAAAGTCTGGGGCAGAGGGAGAGGTCGGCCATGCTGAGGGGCATGGCCACCTCGAATATGGACCCGTTGCTGCCTCCTGTGTGCTCCATACACGTGCTGACAGTGGTGGCCCTACAGTGTGAGGTGGGCCAGAGCTGCTGGGCACAGTGCAGGGGCTGAGTCTCCACAGAAAAAGGGCAATGAGCAAGGGCACTGCACCGGCAATCTCCCAGCCACGGCCAACAGGCTTGGGCCAAGGGCACGGGGCATGGGGCAGGGTAAGGCAGAGTGGGCGCAAGCCAGAGAATCCCAACAGATCCAAGCCCTGGGGCCTGGCCCACTCTCAGGTGGGGCTGGGACGCAGGAAAGGCCAAAGAAACAGGTCAAGGGTAGCCAGGCAGACCAGGGACACTTCAGACACGGCTCTGAAAGCATTTTTCAGCGGCCATCAGACTTGCTCTCAAAGAGAGGGCTTGCTCCAGCGACAGGACATGGGGAGCCAGGCGGGTGGAGTACCCTGAGAGCCCCAGAAGGCAGGTCTGCAGAGCAGGAAGAGGGCTGGGTACATCTCACTCTGTCCCTGGAGGTGAGCAAACAGTCAGAAAGGGGCACAGCCTGTTCCATGGGGTGATGGCACCCAAGGAAAGCCACAGGTTCATCTAGGAGGGAACTAGAGGGGAGGGCATGGGGCTGGGCCTCAGAAACTGCCATATTTAAATGCACAGAAGTGTCACTTTGACAAGACACAGTTAAGCTTTTCTCTTTCACTTTAGAGAGACGGGAACGCTGTGGCCTGGGGGAGGATGGGCCATTTCCCATAGCGGGGTTCCAGGGTCAGCTGGCTGGAACCCAGGGCCCCCAGGGGCCAAGACAGCCCTCTGACATAGCCTGGGTGCATGTGGAAGGTCAGTGGTGTCCAGGTACATCCGCTCCCAGCCTGGGCCCCTCACATGCTTGATGCGGCCCCACCCGGCCTGCCTCACTCCTGACTGTCCTGGTGGGCCTGGAGGGCAGAGAATTCCAGGCCTGTGGCCATCCATGAAATCACCGACAATCAACTGCCCTCTGTCTTCATCCCCTGGAGATATGGGGCTCCTCTTCTGAGAGGAAAACCCAGGAGACCAGTATAAGGGCCAAGGCCACACAGCCAGCATGTGCAGCCCTCCTGAGGAGAAAGACTCCGCCCAGCACAGCCACCTGCTTGGAGCATCCGGGGAATCTGAAGAGCCAGGGAATAACCCACCCTGTGGCAGACCTAACTGTGGGGCTGGGCCCCAGCCCAGTCTCCAGACACTGAGCTCTGAACACACAGGGCCTCAGGGATGTGACACCCATCCCACCCCTGGCAGGAGGGAGTCCTTCTAAAGATGCCCACCAAGGCCCTTCAATGAACCCACGCAGCACCAGGCATAGGAACCTCAGGTGCAAAGGCCAGGGGCAGCTCAGGTGCAGGGCAGCAGGAAGCCAGAGGGGGCAGCTGTGAGCAGGGCTGTCGTCCCAGGCTCCAAACACCCAGGGGAGCTAGAGGCAGTGTCCCTCTGTACTCTTAGCCTTCACCCCGAGGTAAGACCAGGGGTGTGGAGCCAGGAGCGAGTCGTCCCGGGTGGTGGCAGCGTGTCAGCCCACTCTTCCATATACCCACAGCAAGGTCATGGGGGTTAAGGCTCCCTGAACGGGGACCACTGCTGTGACCTCACCTCTTATCTTCCCCCTCACAATCCCAGGTGAATGTGACATGGAGTGAGCGGCCATCAGTGGGAGGCAGGAGTCCCCCGGTCCCCACTGCATACCCCTCAGCACCTCCAGGATCCAGACCAGCCTCAGCGGCCACCTCCCATGCTGTCATACCACAGGCGGCCAGCAGGGGGCCTCCAAGAGACAGATCCAGCCATCTTGGCCAGAGTGGGCAGTCTCCCCTGCAGGCCCAGAGGGGCCAGTACATCGTCGGGCCTGTACAACCTCAGGACAGTGGGCAGGACAGGAGGCAAGGGGAAAAGCAGACATCCTCAGGGAAGGGAGAGCCACCCAAGGACTAAGACTCACCAGGCCCCACCAGAGTGCGTCTGCATAGGTGTCGAAGTGGTCATTCTCTCCCTTCTCTGCCAAGTACACCAGAAACGAGGCCAGAATGAGGCAGAGGAAGCCGATGTACCAGGCAGTGACCAGCTCCTGCAAGGCAGATGGCCACGTCACCGCCACACTCAGGCCAGCCTAGACTGCGTCCACTACCAAGGCCCTGTGCTGGGCTCCGCGTATCCAGGTCCTGGGGACTGAGCTTCCCATTTGAGGCTGGCAGCTCAGCCCCGCGTGGGGACAGTGGGAGACAGGCAGCTGCTTCCGGCTGCACCGTGTCTCCCAGCCACGGACACCCTTCCCCTGTGGCAGGCTTGAGGAAGGGCCGGCCAGTGACCCCAGCTCAGTATGCCGTGGTTCAGGGGCACCTGCCCAGCAGGCAGCAAGCCTGAGAAAAATGTTGAGACCCTTGGAAGACAGCTCTGGAAAGGGATTCCACATCCAGGAAGGGGCAGGTAGGGTGCAGCCAGAAGCTCAGTCCCCACAGAGATCCACACCTGCCCCAAAGCCGTCATGGCCCATAAACGCCCACGGAGCCCCAGCAGGTAGGAAAATGGGGAGGAGATCATTTGGGCAAATAAGTCCCTCACACTCAGGCTGGCTTCACCACAAGGCCTGGTGGGACTGCATCTTGGCCGCCGGTGGGTCTGGGACCCCTCAGAACACAGAATGTGTGTAGCCACAGGCACCCCATGGACACCCCAGCCAGGAGCTGCCACAAGCCACAGCTTAGACCACCACACCCGCAGGTGACTCAGGTGTTGTATCGATCCAGGAAACAAGACACCCAGCCACGAAACAGAGGCTGCACGGAGGGATGAGGCGACTGGCCTTGCAGAAAAACTTTCCGGGCACAGATGACAAAGATGTATCAAGTCACAGAGAAATCCCAAGAAGGAGGGGAGGTCCAAGCTCCACAACCCTACTTCCCCACTGGCAGGACATGCGGCGAGGCCCGGCTGGACAGCAGAGCCCTGGCCCTGGCCCAGGCTGCTCACCTTGCTGTGAGCGTAGACCACAGAGCCCAGCAGCTTCCAGGTGCCCCCCCTCCGGTCCATGCGGATCATCCGCAGGATCTGCAGGAAGCGCAGGCTGCGGAGTGCAGACGTGGCGAAGACGTTGCCCTGGGAGCCAGCTGCCAGCACCGCGATGGAGGCGATGAGCACCATGATGTCTGCAGGAGACGGCGGAGCTCACAGCCAGCCCTCCCCAGGCCACAGAGGGGCGGACAACCCCTTCCCTGCACCACCCCGGAGGACGGAGGGACCGCAAAGCGCCCAGAAAGGAGAGCTACACCGCCCACCCTGCCTGTACCCTCCCACTCCTGACGTCTAGGGCCGTGGCTCCAACCCAAGCCAGAGGCGGGAAGAAACTTCCAGAAGGGCATGTTCTTGCATCTGGCCAGCCTGTTGTGGCCAGCACAGACACCAGCACCAGCTTCTTCCGTGCCACCCATCCCAGTGCCCACTCTACTGACCCACCCCACAGGCCTCACCGATCACACAGAACGGCTTCCGGGCAAACTTCAGCCGCCCTCTCCAGCCACGGTACCGGCAGCAGCAGCCTGCAGCCCAGATCCGGACAAAGTACTCCACACCAAACACCACAATGGTCACAATTTCCTACAGAGGAGGTGACAGCTGAGGCCACCGTGCTGGGGCCACCGTGAGGCTTGGGGGGACACCAGACAGCCACAGGGGCCCCAAAGCCCCAAGGGGGACCTGAAGCTCAGCCCCACACCCAGGGGCTCCCAGCCCCTCCCGACACGTGTCTGGGCCTGAGGACCATGGGACCATCTCCCTGCTCCCCACCTAGCAGGGCAGGGAAGTCTGCCTTTCCCAGGTCCCGGCCCTCTGCCCTGTCTGCTGATCTGCACCAAGGGAGGGTCCCAGGTTGGGTGCGGGGCACCAGCTTCTACCCAGAACTCAGGCAGCCTCAGGGCAGAGGAGCAGAGTGGGCGGAGGGGTGTGATTTCCTGTGGATCAGTCTCCCTGAAGGGCCACCCCCATCACCAACAGCAATGCAGAAATTACACTCCTGTTACCATGGTACCCACCCCTGCCCCATCACAGCCTCTTCGCCTGTGCCCACATCTGCTGGGGAGCACCCCCACACCTGTGGCTCCAGAGAACCCGAGGGTGTGGGAAGAGGGACGTCGGACACTGGCTGGGTGTGGAGACAGGGCGGCTGCGGCGGGGTAGGGGAGGAGGCTGCCTTGGCCCCAGAGGTCAGGGCCAGGCACCCTGGTAGACAGTGCTGGACACAGACACCAGGCAGCCCAGGGCTCACCAGGATGTAGAGGGCGCCCTCCGAGCTCTTCTCGTACTCCTTGATGGTGGAAAACACAGACAGCACGAGGCAGGAGAAGACCAGGAGGAACCTGGAAGACAGTGGTAGAGGCAGAGTCAGCAGCCAGGAGCACGGGACACTGCCCAACCCCCGAGAAGCAACACAGAGGCCCCACGGTGGGCAGAGTGGGGGACACAGTCCATGCTGCTCAGACGCCCAGGACCCCGGGGTGTCACCCCAGGGACGACAGTCATCGGGTCACGGAGCTTCCCTGCTGGTGTCCCAGCCCAGCCTCCGGCTCCACCCGATCCGTCTGACTTCAGCCCCGATGGCCTCATGTAAGGAAACGGCCCCAAGATTCAGACAGAAGGGAATAGCAGTGTCTGCCCACCAAGAGCAACCAAACCGAGAAAAGTAGCCAAATCCACGGGGCGTGGGCCCATGCTCTCTCCTGGTACTTGACCCTCTCCTTCTAGGCTCAAAAACAGAAAACTTTTCAAATTAAGTCCTATATTCAAAGAGAACTTCTCGGATCATCTTTCTAACTTTGCCCTGCCTGCCAAGAAGCTGGAAATTTTTCTCTTTCTCCTTCCTGTGAGCTCTGGGACCTCGTCCTCCACACCCTTGGTTTTACAGTGTAATTACTGATTACCCTCCTCCTGCCATTTAGAACCTGGCTCTTTGGATCCACAAAACCCTCCCAGGGGCTCTGTGCCTCTTTCGTGGCCACATAACCTCCTCTGACCAAAGTGGATGTGGACAATAATAATTAATTCAATTCTTACTGTGGATAGTGAGACAACAGCAAGTCTCACACTTTGGGTCCCAGCTGCCTGCCTGACAAGGAGCATTTCACAGATGTTGAAACACAGACTTTCCCAGGCACACAGCCTCCAACAGGACAGCAGCCCCAACCTCAGTCTGCTGCAGAAAGCTCCCAGGCCCCCTCTCCTGACCACCCATGGTCGCCCCCAGAGTCTGAGTTGGTACATTTCCTTCAGCACCTGTTCTGCTCGGTAAATTCTCCATCCTCACCCGAGGCCTTCGACACCTGTCACGCAAGGCTCCCCCAGCGTCCTGTGGACAGGAAGCCCCCAAGGCCCGACCCAGAAGCCCAGCTGGGCCCTGGCAAGGGCACCCCAAGTTGCCAGGTCAAGAGGGACAGCACAACAGCAGTCTGCACACCCTGTCCCAGGACGCCAGCTTTCCCTCCTGGAGCCCAGGATGGCTCCTTGGCTGCGGGTGCAGAGGAGCTGTCAGCAGCCGCTGCTGAGGGCAGTGATTCCTGGGCCCACCTACTTTCTCCGACTGTCCACCTGCGACGGGAAGGGGACACCTTCAACATCCAGTGAGCAGGTCAGCAGCCCGCGACCAACTCTGGTGAGGAGGCACCGAGCGGGGAGCCTGGAGTCCCTGACCCCAGGGGTTCTCATTCAGGCAGTGACTTGGAAGAGACAGGAGCTGCAGGGAAGGGACGGAGCCCCGAGCAAAGTGCCCCTCCCTGCACCCACACTCCTAGGCTGGCATCAGTCCACACCACCAAGCTACTGTGCCTGGTCGGGGCCCCACAAGCCCCACCTCTGCCACACGGGTGCCAACCCCCACAAGCCCAAGTCCCGAGGTCGGGCCGCCCAGGGGTCAGATTCCCTCCACATGGAGTCTCCCTCAGGCCAGTCCTCGCCCAGCCCCTGGCCCCTGGCAGGGCCCCTGGTCTCTCCCCTGGACACCATCTGCCTCCAGTCAGAGTCTGACCACAAGCACACCGGTCCCTGGGGAGGCACCCCACCCAGGCACCCTCTGGGAGCTGAGCAGGCGGCCAACCCTGCTCCTGTGTAAAATCCACTCCGAGCCTCTCGACTGTTTTTCCCCAATGGAGGGGAGCAAGGCCCACCAACTAGTGCAAGCAACTGTCAGTCTCAGCACCTCTGCTTTGAACCCCCAGGAAACAAGGATACAAGGAGCAGGCACAGGGAAAGAAGTCTGCAGATGAAGTCACAAGGAAAAGACAGCAGTGGAAAAGAACCTAAAAGATACAACTTTAGCTCCTGGAGCCAGCTATGCCTGAAGCCCCTTGGACTTGCAGATAACATAATCCCATTCCTTATATACTTGGGATTTCTTTTTTGCCCTTTAAAAATAAAAGATCCCTGCCCTTACCAGGCTTGATCAGCTAAATGACAAGGGCAGGTCGTACTCTGAGGACTCTGACTCACCACTCCGGCATTCCTATTCTGGCCTCTGGCTTCTCCCTGTGAAGCCAAGCCATGCTGAATGTGGCCTAAGCAGCCTTGGATCAAAAGGGGAAACAAACCCTGGGTGTGTGGTGCTGGCTGTGGAAGACCACACTCAACCCACAGTGCCTCTGTTCTCTTATCAGAGCCTGGGGGCCGGGAGTGTGGTTCAGTGGCAAGTGCTCACCTCACGGGCTTTAGGCCCGGGGCTCCATCCCCGGCACCTCCAGGGGACCAGCACAGCGTGAATGTGGGAGACCCCAGTTTTCCCGCTGGGCCCCGTGAGGGAACTCACAGCACCAGCCATCACCACCGGATCCCCCAGACCAGGCTGGTTGGTGCCTGTCCACGCTCAGCGCGTGCCCACCCTGTGCTGCACTGCTGGCCACCGCGCCCAGGCACAGCTCGGGACCCCTCACCCGGTCCTATCTCAGTGCCCGTCCCTCACCAGGGACTGACACCGTGCGGGCTGTCTCCTTTGTTCACAGCCACCGACCTATCCACATCTGAGTATGCAGCGACACCTAGACAGGTGTTGGGCCGGGGGCACCGTGGCTGAACTGCTGACACAGGACCGACCATCACAGAGGCCAGCCGGCCGACAGCACTCAGGAGGGGGCACGATCGGGGACGCGCAGCTCAGTCAGCCTGACCAGCATCCCAAGCAGGAGCACAGGGGCCCACTGGGGCAGCCACCGTGCAGGCAGGGAGGGTACTGCAGCTGGCCCAGGGCACAGCAGTGGCTGTGGGCTCAGGAGCAGGTGGTAGAGCAGAAAGACCGTGCAGTGAGCTGAAGGCACAGGCCCCCTCCCAGAGACAATGCCTGCCCTCAGCCAGCTACACCAGCCCAGGCGCTCAGACAGGAGTACCCTGCGGAGGCCCCAGGACCCTTCTGGGCCACCCGCCTCACCTGCCTGTAGCAACAGTGGGCCCCAGCCGGCATTCAGGGCACAGTCAGCTCGGCACACAGAACCTGCACCTGAGCCCCGAGGGAGCCCGCTACAGTACACAGCCCAGTTCACTGCCCTGCCTCGTGGACTGAGCCCCACCCCAATGCACTGGCCTCGGGACAGTACCGCAGGGTCCCCATGCTTCCCAGCTCTGGGGTGGAGGTGCTGGCGGCAGGTAGCAAAGGCTCTGCAGGGCCTGCTTGTAGACAGAACATGCAAGTCACATTTCAAAACCGCAATTAATTTCCTTTGCTCATTAGCCAATTTATTCAATTAACTGAGCCCTTTAAAAATGTGCAGACATCTTGTGTGCCTCCTGCAAGTGATTCTGCCCGCCTGGCAGTGTCTTCTCCCAAGGACGCTCCTGGTCCTGGGCCAGCCCCTGGGGAGAGGTGTGGGAGAGGTGCTGAAGGATCCCCCATCCAGAGAGGGCATCACAGCTCAAGGTGGGAGCCCAGGGGCCCCTCAGTCGGATCTACAGGATGAAGAGTTGGCAGGGCCACACAGCTCCAGGGGCAGGGAGTTCCCAGCAGAGGGGACAGCAAGCAGGGAAGAGCCCTGTGAGCAGGCCAGGAGGGAGCTGGATGTGTCTGGCCACACTGGAAAACAGGACAGGAGGTCAGGGATGGCCCCAGATTGGAACACTAAGTCCAAGGCCTGTGCCCAGACAGGCCAGCTCCTCACACTCTGAAGCATCCCTCCACATAGGAAGAAGGAGGCTGAGGTGCCAGGTGTGCCAGACCTCTTCACCTGCTCCTAAAGTCCAGGCATCCAGAACATTTCAGAGCCCCTGGAGACAGGTGCATGTACTAGGCCATGGGAACAAAACAGGAGACACAGCCCCAGGAGGCGCAGGCTGGAGACCCTGCCCTGAGCTGGGACACAACTCCCCAACCCCACACACAAGTCTAGGCCAGGGAGCCCCTGGCAGGAGGAGACCTTCCCTGTACTCCCAGCCCAGGAACTGGCCAAGCCTCCCGGCATCAGGGGAAAGAGGCCTCCAGAAAGGAGGACAGGTGATTTTCCTGCAGCCCAGAATTACAACACAAGGGGTTTCCAGTCTAATTCTAATAACAGATTCAACCTCAGGACCCTTTGCTGCTGACAGTGGTTGCCAAGGAGACAAGTATCAGAAGCAGCTGGTCTCCAGCCCAAGATCCACAGGGCTGGGACAGTGGAGAGGCAGGACCTCAGACAGCTCTGGCCACTCCACCCAAGTGTGAAGAACAGGTGGCCTGGCACCACCCCAAGCTCCGGTGCACATTCAGGCCCCAAATCACAAGAGGCCACTAGGGAGGCCAGGTCTCCTTGGGGTCCAGAGCAGACAGACCTGTAGCAGGAAGGACCTCACTGGATGTAAGGAGGACTTCAGGCTACGGCCTGAGCTCTGGGCAGAAGCAGGCTCCCTTGTCAAACAGGGCCTGTGTGCAGGGAGATGGATGGGGCAGGTCCTGCAACAGAGGCAGTCACATGTGTGCGTGATCAGTACATGTGGGTCCCCACACCCCAGGGAGGCCCCTGCCCCAGGAAGAGTCTGCTTCCCTCTCTCCCTCCCCACCCATCTCAGTTGGATTGCAGGGCATGTTTCCTCTGGAAAAACGTGGCAAAGCCACTGCCACTTCATCACGACCCCTCACACACTGGGGTCTGGAGGACAGGGTACCTGTGCAGTCACTGCCCCGACTCGCTCCTCCCAGGCTGGCCACCCTCTCACTGTGCTTGTAAGAAGTCAGGGCATTAACACAGGCAGACTGTCACAGCATCCCGCTCCACTCTCCAGCCCCTGTCCAGATGCTGAAGTGGGCAAGAGCCCAGTCCCAGGGGCTAAAGCCCCTAGCATGTCCGCGTCGCTGGGCCCACAGACCCCCTACAGGCATGAAGGTGCCCCGCCCCACTACCAAGATGGGAAA